AGAGTCGAAGAAAACTGGTGGAATTGGAGATTCCAACCAAATCCGAAGGACGCGTGCTCAAGTATTTTGGTCGATCGGCAAAGAAGTGTGATAGTCGCACCTCCCCGCACCTTGATCGCCGCAACCTTTAATGTCACCTCGTCGGCTGGACTCTGAGCGGACTGTGACAGATCACGTCTGCCTTTCTCTCGCTTTACTATTTTGGCGCTGACAGCCCTATCCGGTTTAGGAATTCTGCCCTGAGAATGTCTGTTTCAAATCCCATATGAATTAAAATTTGTCCGACCCGAATTTAATTAAATTAATTAAATGCCAGTTTACAGGCATTGTCAAGGGAAGCGATTAAACACAAATCCGACCAGCAGTGAAAAAAAAAACTCCTGAAGAATAAAAATATAGTTGATGATGGTTTTTATGGTTTGGAGGGTGCAGGAGAAAAAAACTGCTGGCGGTATATTTTCGACCGTCAAGAAGGGGGGGAGGGCGTCGCACGGTATCGGAGATCATCGGACGTCAATTCCTTTCATGAAGTTGGCGATAGTCAAAGAAGAGGCGTTGAGGAACAGCTGGTGAGACCGGCCATAGTGTTCAGAGACCACAAACGCCATCGCTACGGTACAGTCGATCAGTGGATTCAGAACCCAAAATTTGAGGAAGCTTTTCTGAATGCGAAAATCGAGTAATAGTTCTCTTAAATAAAGGATAATTTTGCAGAGTTTTCACACTCATTGGTAGTTTATTCCAAATAGCAATTGCATTTACAGAATAGAACCGACGATATTTAACAGCACGTACCAGAGGCAGAAATAAGAATACCTCACGGTGACTGTTACGTCGTGGGTGGATATGATGTCTTAAAGAGGTGAGTGGGTTAAATGTGTGATTATATAAGAGTTTAAATAGCAAAAATATTCCCTTTTGTAATCTACGGAACCATAAAGGATCAAGGCCCGTAAGCCGGCAACGTTCTTGGTAAGACAAATGTCGGTGTTCCGCAGCTAAAATTCTCTTGGTAAAAAAGTGTTGAACGGATTCTATTTTCTTCCGCTCAGTAGCACGCATGAGGCTAAATGAAAACGAACAGTATTCCAGACCAGGTCTAACGTACATGTTGAAAAGGCGCATTCTGATGTCCCTAGTTTTAAAGTTTCGGAGGATAAACCCGGTCGTTCTGCGTGCTTTGGAGACTATCAAGGCACAGTGCTCCGAGAGATTGAGACTCTGGGAGTATGATATGCCCAGATCCTTTATAACCCTGGGCACATTTATGGAGTGACCTTCAATATTTATTTGAGGTTGGTGGTCGTCGCCAACCACCATGACTGAGCACTTATGCCAAGAAAGAGAAAGGCGCCATGTGCGGCACCACTGGGCGAAAGCCTGTAGATCGCTCTTTAGGAGCTCAAGCACGATGTCACGATCTGCCGGCTTATATCGATATGCAACTTTAAGATCGTCGGCATACATGAAAGGCTTACCATTGTGAAATAAATCGGGTACATCATTAACGAAAAGGCGAAATAAAAGTGGGCCGAGTACACTACCCTGAATGACTCCACTCCTCACACGTGTGGGGTTGGAGATGGTATTGGAAACCTTAACTGGTTGTGTACGAGCGCCCAGGTAAGAGGATATAAAATTTAAAAGTCTGCCACCTATTCCGAAAGAGGACAGTTTCAAGAGAAGAAGAGCATGGTCAACACGGTCAAAAGCCTTAGTGAAATCGAAATATACTGTGTAAAGTGCAAAACCATTGTCCCTAGATTGGGGAACTTAGTCAAAGAAAGAGAGTTGACAGGTGTCACAAGATCGAGCTTTGAGGAATCCATGCTGAGCAGCACTCAGTAGGTTATTCACTGTTAAGTAACACATCATTTTATCTTTGATCAATGTCTCTAAGATCTTCGAAACTGCAGGGAGGGTGTTTATTGGCCGAAAGTCATCAAATGATGTAGATTTGCCGTGCTTAGGAATGGGCAGAATGTGCGATTTCTTCCACAAGGTAGGATAGCTTTCAGTTTCAAGAGCAAGATTAAATATCTTGCATAAGAGGGATGGGAAGATCGTGTTTGCATCGGCTTTTAAAATGCTTACAGGGACACCATCAGGGCCTGGACTATAAGATTGACGAAAACGCCGAATCGCAACAGTCACATCCCACAGAGTGAAAGTTATAGTTTCTAAAACTGTCCCGGTCAATGGCTGGATTGTCGGAAGCGGAGTGGTCGAGTCTTCAATAAACGTTTTGGACAGGAAATCATTGAAGCTATCAGCGGTTAACTGGGCATCAACTATGGGATTTCCGAGAGCATCTCGGAGGATGAGATGCTGCGTCTTTCTATGAGTTCGATGAATTATCTGATTTAGTATGGACATTATCATGAGGAATAAGTTGGTAAAATGGCCGTGGAGGAGACAAGTTAGGGGGTGGGGGACGCATTGTTTCCATTGGAGCAAGAGTTTTATTAGACGGCGGAAAAATCGGCATATTCGGCCTAAATGCCTCGATATGAGTGCTGGGGGCAGTTGCGAACCCGCTACGTTTTGAGTCGGGGTATTTGAGGCACTGTTAGCCGATTGTTGTGGAAAAGATTCAAAAATGGTGCTGGACTTATCGGGTGTCCGAGTGGCTGAGACAGCAATTGGATTTGCCTTTGACTTAGACACATGCTTAGGCTTACTAGGGGTTCCTGGGGAAGTCGATAGAGGCGTGTTTATACCAGGCTTGATGGTGTGTTTAAAGAGGTCAGCATTAAAAGTAGTCGAATTCCCTACGGAATTGACTATGTCGTGATGTGCAGATGCCGCAGATGGTGTTGTAGAGGACTTATTCAGACTGAGTGTAGGTGTCATTATCTTGGTGTTGGTTTTGCCGATTTTAATTTATTCAGTCTTTGCTGTAGGGGTGTGAGGTCTGGCGAAACGGAGCAGCGCCATTTACGGCAGAAGTCTCTAGTTATCTCCCTACTCGACAAGATAAAATCGACTTCTATCATGAAGGAAAGGATAACTAGTATCGGCGCATTACGGTTAAGCGAGCGAAGTCGCTTAGCTTGTGCGACACTGAAACGCAAGCCACAACTTTGTAGGAACAAATGAGGTCCCTCCATAGCAGATAAGTGGCTCGGAATGTTTCGCAGTACGAAATTATGCTTGCGTTTAATTCTTTCCTCAGTTTCCGAACTTATTACCCCAATAAGTTTAAAAACTTGTTCAAGCACTTTTTCAGAAGTGCTGTTTATGTCTCCATAAATCAGCTGATCGATTATTTCGCCGGCTGATGGCCTGCTACGACTAGCAGAGGCGTATTTTTGGACGAATGAAGGGTCGAGAGGTTCTACATGTACTAAAGGGATTTGTGAATTAATCAGATTTACGGACGGCGAAGAACATACGCTGACACCTGCTATGTCTTCAGTCACGATTTTAGCACCCAGAGACGGTGGGGAGGCCGCAAGCCTTCGCCATTTAGCACGTGCTCTGCGGGGCATTACAGACAGAAAAAGTTTTTCGTTACAGAAGAAGGGTCAACACGTTGCCAACGTACGGAAAATCCCACTTAATAGCAAGTGCTACTGTTATTTAACTACGAAAAATAGAAAGAGATAGCATTGTTCGCAATGCTGCTGATGTTGGTGATGATGTTTATGGGAAAGTTGTCAGATGTGCGAGATGGGTTTGGCTTGTTGCCATCGCAGAGAATTATTTTGTCGTGTATTTGCATGTGTCCTCGGAGGCCCACTCAACGAATAAATGCGCTTGGACATTGCAGTAGGTTGAAGCGAAAGCGAAGACTTTATAACAGTGCTCTTAAAACCGGATTTCCAGTCTCGGTAAGACGGATTAACAAGTGACTGATGGGCAATATGAAAATGCAATGACAATGAAGTCGTTCATACACGCGGTTAAAAAACGCACCGCGTATCGTTTTCTTGTTATGTATGCAGTGTGTTGACTAGTTATAATAAAGTTTGACCTCCGATTTCGGCTATGTCCATCGTGCGCTCCACAGTAGGATGGGAGCAGGGACGGTGAATTGCGCGCGATTAAGCTAATGGTGGTAGTATACATGGATATCATCTACCGTACTCTTTCCTCCCCCTTTGGACACGATATCATAGCCAAGTCAAGAAGCGCCGAGATGGGAGAGGGCGCAGGTGACTGGCGTAGCCGTAGCCACCCCTAGGCGTACCGCCACACCCAGATTGGACCCCACTAGATGAGAATGCCATAGAGACCACACTAAGAGGGTGTCATTGTGGCATGATTCCAGGTCATCAGTCGGTCGCCCAAATCAGAAAAACTGAGCTGAGCTGACCAAGTTGTCAAATTTGAAGCATCATTTTGCAACCTCCCAAGCCACGGCTTTTAACACATCGTAAGAGCTCCAAGCGCATCACATTTAACAGGCCTCTACTGAAATGCTTCCTTACTCGGATTAGGTTTTAGTCCGCACCACTGTTTTTAAAGAATTAAGTTTTGTTTTCTTGATGTTACTCGATAAATATTCAGGCTTCCCCCATCTTCAGTCTCGTCCCCCTGATTAAGTTCCGGACTGGTGTTGCACATTCCACTTAAGTTTCATCTCTTATAAACTACCTGTCTAGTGGCGCCTAGATATTCAGTAACTTGCGGATTTCCGAAAATAATCAGGCGCCTCAACCGACACTTCCAATCCATGGCGGAATATAATAAACGCAGCCATGCCCCCCAGGCCGGAGTTCTGGCCTAACCTTTCGATGTATAATTGATAATTTCTTTCAGTTGGGATATAGTTGTGTTTTACGAAGTTGAAGCGTAGAGCGCCATCGTTAGTTATAGGACTTGCGATGTGTGCGTCTAGGCCTAAAAAACGTGCACTTAGAAAAACAACATTCATCCGGGATTCTGACTCAGAAGAAGAGGTTTCCAAGGATAAAACCGAAGACTCCCACAGGTCAAAACAGGAGAATGCTTCATCCACTCACGAAATCGTTGAGACCATCAAATGCTGGCAGAATATGCGTAAGCGACCTCCTGGCGTCAGTGCTGAGGCCTTACTTACCGGGCGTAAAGTGGAATTATCAGTTTCTGCCGACGATGACCCTTTTAAATTGAAGACGGGTGGTCTAGTTGATATGAAGGGTGCTTTTCGCAAGCCTTTGGGAGACGAATTTGAAGACGAAGTTCGCCTTTCGAAAACATTTGCCGCCGAGACAAACAAACGCGACGAAGATGCAGACATGTACGTTTGATTCCATTATTTGGTATTTTTATTTTTTTTGGGTATTAGATTTTAATCTGTTGGCAATCCTCCTTGCCATTAAGGTTTTGTCTTGCCGTATGCTTTCTCACCGCCCTTACTATAGTAAAAAAGCTTTGATAACCAGACGACAAGCCCTTTCCGTTCCTCATATTTTGTCATCAATAGGTTTGCTCACCCCTGTGATGCAAGGGACCAATCGTTACGTTAAATTTGCTTGCGTGCCGTTTTTATGAATCGTCCAGGCTATATACCTATCACCTCATCTTGTTAACCTATAAGTAGGATGTCAGGACATAGGTCCATGCATAAACCCAAAAAGACCTATACCGGAACAGAGGCATTGCCTGTTTTTATTGGTAAGATTGTGCCTATTGCTTGAAGTTGAACGTTTTCCCTTAGCAGACAATATGCCATCTAGCAAACTTTCTCGTAAAAACAAGCATCATTTCAACAAAATCGGCCTTAAAGCTATCGCTAGTCGAACACGGACGTAAGTTCCATTGGAAAATTCTGTTTCGGGGACCCACTAACGAATTTGACATACTTTTAATGCCTAAGCATCCATCTGTAAATTATGATGATGCAGCTCTAGGAATCTATTCTTCGTTTGTAAGTCGTTTGAGACCGCATTTTCCATAACAACGGGCGCCCCTCATCCTAACTGCAATTGCCGTTAACCTTCCTAATCTCAACAGATGGACGGTTTTACTTCTTGATGCCTGCCGGCTGACGTCGCTGGTGCAATAGTTTTATGTTTACTAGCGAACTAGTATCGACGATAGTGCCCGAATGCGGAGAGTTTGGGTTTGATACACCACCCTCGACAAAATGCTTACTTATGGTGCCCATAACTAAGCTGAACTGTTCCACCAGGTACCAACCATTAGTATCAGATGAAGGAATCTGTTTCTAATATCAGAATTCTGTTAATCTGCTGTCCCCACTAAAAGGTGAACTTTTTATCTGTTTAAATTCTGAGGCCAAGACTAATTCGAGAAAATGGAGGTGCCTTGAGTAGGCACTGCTTCTTCTTGCGTTACAGCAACCCATGTAACGTTTATACCGGAATAATGTGATGACCAACATTAAGAAGGGCAAATCAAACTTTCCTAATTTGGGGCAAATCAATTAGCAGATTTTGTTGGTGTGCCTTAAATGACACCACCCATGTCTGTTGTTCACTTGTATGCCCTCATCATCAGTTATTCACTAGAGCAATAAAGGTGCCCAGTCCTGGCTGTAAGAACTGCCTGCTAACCCGTCATGGTCCGTTCACCTTTGTTGGCGACTAAAATGATCTGACAGAGCCAAGTAGCGACCGTGCTGTCAGATAATTGTTCGTTTTAGTTTTATTCGACTCGGCCATTGTGAAGAACTGTTGGTTTTCGCCGGTGACAATTGCCTACGTGTAACCATAACGTCCTTTTACCATCTGTCTAAATATTTGTTAGCGTCGTATCTCAGCAGTAGCTCTGCAGCCAGACTAACAACATGCGAAAAATGGGCGTGTAGTGCCGAACCCCAGACGTCTTTATTGCTCACATGCTCACACATGTTTAAAAGGCGTCACACCAGATGTGTTAGCATACGATCTGGGAAAACTAACACCCAGGCCCTGACAAAGAAAACCCATACTCTTTTTACAGCCTGAAGTGAAGAGGCCAACAATGAGTGGCCATCATTGGAAGCTACGACCCTCAAAGCACTTGAAAGAATTAGCACAATCGTCAGTGGGTGTTGCAGGGGTTGAGTCATCTAGAGGATTCTCAAGCGGTCTGCTAAGATAAATCAAGATAGATTCGCAGTCACTTCTTCCACTTAGTCAGTGGGGTTGACGATTAATTCTGTTAGAGAAAGCAGCAAAAGTTATGGCAACCCTTATACATGAATATCAAAAGTCGGTGACATTCAAAAACCGCTAACTTATCTCACAGATCGCCTGAACCGCATAACCTTTGGTCGAGGTGGGGTGCTGGAGTGAGTCTACCAACCAGTGCCTCACCTCGACAGAGAGGTATTTTCATGCAAAACCCAGAACGAATTTCTTGATGTAGTACCAAGTCACATAATAGCCGGCTTCCCGAGAGGGTGGCGCCTCCGCTGCTGCTTATGTCCTGTGCTCTTGTTCAATGACCTGATTAAACAGGCGCACGGAAGTAAGATCGTTCGTGATTACTCGTACTACACCATCACGCTTCTTGTATTCCAGAAAAAGGACACGGTGGAGCCCGAGAACAGCCGCGGAATTCCAAAAAGGCCTTTGTTGCCATTGTTTTCCGACAATTCCAGGGCATACGTTATCTGGGAACAAATTTAGACCTCAACGTGGATCTCCCGGCCAACTGCGAACACTAATATGGGCCTTCAAATTCTATCACGGTTACAAGTAGCGAACAGCCGTCCGCATAGTTGATTTCGCCGACACTTTCCATTCCGCTCATTGTAAGCTTGTAGAGGATCGGAGAATCAACATCAGTTCCATAAGAAGCTCGACTGTAGTCCAGACACACCATATCTCTGTATATATCTGTCTCCTTGCTTCCAGCCTCCCACAGTGTTCGATATCTGCTCAAATGTTATTCTGGGATGACCACCTGTCACAGATGCCATTCAGCGGCGTTTTTGGTCAAGCAGCCCAAAGAGCTCTAAGCCGTTTTGCTGACATAAATCTTGATCATGGACTAATGCTACCGGACTTTGGATATGCTGATGAGACGGCTCTATTCTCGAGCTACGACGGTGTACAGAACTGAATGTCTCAAGCCGATGGAACCTCCAAAGTAGTTGGTTTACTTATTAACGCTACAAAAACCTAGGTGTTCCCGAGCTGCATAGCTGACCTCGGAGAGGCACCTGCTGTGCCGAATGACTCATCACGAAGAAGTAGACGATTTCATCTGTCCTAAGGTCAGGTTGTGGACAAATCGATGCAGTAAAGACAGTATTGTTACCCGGACCAACGCTGTCTGACATTTTATTGTCAGTCTTTTAAGGTGCCTTTCAGGCCCATCGCGATAGCTCAATTACCAAACATATCCGTGTGTATAGAACATCTATCCCATGTACGCTAGTCTATGTCGGTGAATTTTAGTCCATGACAAAGGGAACGCGGGGAAGCTAAAGCCAACCGATTACCGTTCTTTGAGAGCGATACTCTGAGCGATGCGCACGAATTTCGTTCCAAACAAGGCGACCTGCGCCTGCATCGAAGACATCCACGACAAAACAACTTTGATTTCAAAGAATAGCCGTTGACTGTCCAGTGAACTTGGTGCCGCGGACCGGAATCCGATATCCTTCCTTCCCAGTGATCAATAAGAAGATTATCATGTGTTTACGCAGCTCCGTTAACGTTCGAGACGTCAACAAGATTACTTGATTTTCATTCTCGCCGATGGAGTAACAATTGGTTTTAGCCGACCAGATCGGCTTTCAGAGATCGCTACTCATACGGAGGCATCGTCAAGGACAGGCAGACCAAACATGCTCGTGGATGCTCATTTGCTTGCTTAACAAAGCAACATATTTTATCATGTTGTTCACCTGACTATGCTGAGTAACCCAAGCATACAAGATTTCCCCATTAGATCATGCAGTGAGTTATGAATCTGTCGCAAACTGGCCTTGCCACATTCTGTCTGAGAATTTTCTGCACCATTGTCTCATATGTCTAGGTTTGCGGCATCTATACACTCATGTTCTCACTGCGAGACCGTTCCGATGGAATCGCCTGTTTCCCGAACGGAAGGAAACCGCGGGTCCTTGACATATTTCATAAGCTTAACAGTAGGAACGTTTACGATAGACACCACATTTTTTTACACCGGACTATAGACAACGTGGGACTCACAAATAATGGACGTGTTCACTTACAGTTCGGTCGGTAGAGCACTCGGTGTGCATTGGCTGGTCGGGAGCTCGATGCCGTCTGATATCAGACGTTTTCTGGCTGTAGATTCCCTATTCCCCATACACGGGCACAATCTATATTCCACATAACAGGCAATTTTCTTCACCAAGTTGCGTTTCTAGGGACAAATATCGCATAGTCGACGACTGACGCAGCAGAGCACGCATCAGTCAACCTACTAGTCAGTTGCAGCAGGTTCAGTATCCCTCTTCCGTGTCAAAAGATAGAGTCGGACATGAGATCTCGTCCTTACAACCGGCTTTTCTGCTTGTAATTCTTATCTCTACTACGTCTTTGCCTCGCTCGCCTCCCTCAGAGTGCGGTTGCCTGAATCAACATCATTTCAGTCACCCCGGTCGTGTCGTATGTGGCGATGCACTGCCCTTCCAAAAACCGTCATCCAAACACCTTTTATGCATTTCGTTTTTTTCAGGTTAAAGTATATTGAAGACGAATTGGCTAAACGAAAGGGAATAACACAGAAGAACGAAGACACTCCCAAGTAAGTTGAAACCCTTTATCTTGAGAACATATCCTTAGAAATCCCGCGGACAGTCTCTTGGCCGAAATTCCTGACTATTTGAAGCCGTCGATTGGCCAACAATCCGAGGACATGCTTTCGAACCAAATGCTCTGCGGCATCCCCGAGGTTGACTTGGGTGTTGAGGCAAAAATGCGAAATATCGAAGCAACGGAAGAGGCAAAACAAAGACTCTTGAAAGAGCGATTTAATCAGCGACGGCAAAAACAAGCCGATGACATTGTCCCAACTAATATATCCGTCAACTTTGTCCAGCACAGTCGATGGAGTAAGTTTCTTGGGAGACATCCAAAATTTAGTATTGGTCCGCGATGAATAACCCTTGCTTAAATCTTATTTTCCTTCGGGCATACCATTAACAAGACGCCAAAGTTACGTCTCACCTTCTTACCTTGAAGTAATTGACTCTCCATCTCCTTTTTCAACAGATAATTATATTGATCCCAGCGTACAGCAAGAGTTAGCCGGCCAGTTTCGCGAACTTTCGGATGCTACTCAGCCCATCGAGTTGGCAGTCCCTTCACTTGCTGATCCACCTGCTCTGGAAGGTTAGGAGTTATTATTTCTTCGTAACTTAAAGGAGCTGATATTCCCGCCTAGTTCCCATTTCAAATACCTCGATGCGACTTGTGTTAGCCACAGTCATCATCTTTCTCTTTTCCCAACTTCTTCACTGGTTTTTAAACTCCAGACAAATTTTAAGGCTTCCTTTCTGTTTTATTGGCAAGAGGGGTATGTGTGATGTGAGTTTCAGTGATAGCTCAATTCCACTGATTTATGTTTAAACCTCATGACCAATCTTGTGCCGCTGTACTAATTCCAAGGTACTGAAACCGTTTAAAGTGTCCGTTTCCGTCCGTTTTCAGTCGCCAGCGCCGCAAACACAATCCAGTTTAAGTATTACGCCTTGCATTTTACTTTTATCAGATGCGGAGGGTATTGCACTGAGGAGGCTAGTGCTGCGTGGCAGTGACACTCACCGATCTGGCCCGGCCGCAGAACGGAAGACGGGCGTTACGTTTTGTTCTGGTTTTTCGAGATGTGGCCCGCGCAAAGTGGCGCATCGCATCAAGCCATGCAACAACACGGACTGCTCACTTCTGACTTGTATTCCATCGTCAGCCGGCAATACGTGAACTATTAGGCCGTGAATATCTGTGATTTAAACCTTGACCCGTTTGCCATTGACTTAAAAGTTCTGCCAACTGAGCCACTGGCTCGCACTCTATGAGGGGTTACGTGAGGGTGAAGTTAACCTGCCTATCGTAGTTGTGGAACCGATTGTGATCGTCCATTTTCCCCTTGAAGCTCTTTGTAGCCATGCGGGGATGATTAGTCAGTCCCTGTGGATTGCGTCGCTCCTCATGCCCAGGTCCAGTCTCGTAATCAAACAAAACTTTTTCTTCGGTGTTATTGCATGCGACGTTTCCTTCTGTAGACGGCTATGCCTTTCCCAACAAAAGTTCTTGCACAGCAGTTACGTTTATATGATACGTGACAGTTTGACCATTGCAACCGATGATATCCACCGTGTGCTCCACAGCAACGCGAAACAGGCACAGTGGCTTGCTCATGAATCTATTTATAGTGAAAGTGGACTTGCGCGGCATCTACAGCACTCACCTCCGCCTCCCTGGGTCTGGTGTTTTGACAGCCAAGAACACCGGAGGCGGGAGAGGGCGCAGATGGTTGGCGCGGCCGCATCCGCACCTAGGCGTACCACCACACCCCTTGGTCCACAGCAAACACTTTACCAGGATTTTAACCATAACAGCACCACAGAAAGACGAGGATGGCTTGGCAGCCATGCACGCAGAAGCGCAGGTGCATCTGCTGGTAGGGAAACCCGATGCCAGAGAACTGTCAGCGCCCACAAGGCTTTGAGGGCCATGGTTACTGAATCGTGACATAGCATACGCACACAATTCTCGAAGCCCAGAAGGGTAAGACGCAGCCCTGCACCTAGTCTGGGCCATCGCCCTTCAAAGGCTGGGTAACCAGTCAATCATCGACTGAGAGGCAGTACCCATAAAGTGTTGTATATGACACATACGGTGGAGATGGCGAACTCACACAGCCAGTCGGCAGAACAGACGGCCAGAATTTGGAAGGTCGGCAATTTGCAGTCCCCGTCGCACAGTGAACGTTTTCTGGTTTATGCGTTTGTTATCTTCATAGTCTTTTCAATCAAAAAATAATTGCTACTTAATTGTATTACGACCAATAGGACGTTTCACTTGGAAAATCTCATGCAACTACGTCACGAGTTTGCGTTTTGCTCCTAGGAGCAATTGAGGGCTTAGGCGGGCTATTTGTAACAGTATGTGAACCGACAACGTATGAAAATGTAAAACAGACCAAACTTATTATTTCGGCCACAGAAATCAGGGACGATTATGTCACCTCAGTTGCATAAATTTTCCAGCAGACCATTTTGATGGATCACTAGGAGAACCAACATTTGAGAAGTATCCTGAGACAGAATTATTCGGCCCAAACATGGTGCACTGGTGACCTAATCACCCTTTTGCCGTTTTGGAGAGTTGAACGTGTATGTTTTTATGATTTTTCGGAAATACGTTTATTGCTAAACTTTATACTGATTACCACTGCTAGGTCTAGTGTGAAGTGTTAACAAATAAAGTCCATTTGGACAGATCGTAACATCGATGAGACACGGGGGTTTTGCACCGTCGAGTGAAGTAGACCGATGTCAGCTTCCTGGATGCAACTTCTGACCCCAGACTTTTTGTGCTGGAGCTCTGTTAGCCACGATCCCGGCGTTCAGTTGTATTTTCCTTTTTTTTTAACTACCACAATAGTTAGTGACATACTGGATGTAGACAGTGCGGCGGCCAGAGCCGTTCGGCTGGGTTGGCCGAATTCCTTATGACGTCAAGGTTGTCCATTACGCCCATTTCTACGAAATTCTGCTAATCTTCCAATTTTTCATGTTGTAGCTGAAAGGCGTCGTTTGCAAGCGGAGAAGTCAACCGATGCACTCGTCTTGCAACGTTTCAAGAACTACATGCGTGGTCGACGTCCGCGGTGAGGAAACCGTCCTACCCTAGCTCTGTACATACATCCCCCATAAAAAAACTGATATCCGCGTTGCCACAGACATCGCCTTTTAAAAGAGTTTTGTGACTTCTTTGTTAATTGTTGACATTGTTCATACCGCTTTTAGTATATATAATTTTTTTGAGGTGACTAGTTTTGCGTTTTTATGAAAAAAAACAATTTGCCTAGCGCCTTTTCCGCCCCCTAAGCTCTGCTATGTTTGAGCTCTCACTGAGGATCTGGCAAACATGGCGCGCATGTCTTTGATATAGAATTTTAACTACTGCCAGAGCTGCCTTCCAGAAATTATATTGTCAGGTACCAAAGTAACGAATTAGATCTGTCTGACCTCTGAACTGTTTCATTGGCGGGAACTTCGAACCTAGTTTTTTTATCCATGACAATTAAGATTTACACTTTTACAATTACATCTATGCAGATTGTTCAAAGTGCTATTCGGGTTCCTTTAATCACTTTCCAAATCTCCCCTCATCGTTACAGGTACTTGTTCCTAAGATGCTGGCGTCAAGTTCCTGTAGTCAGGGTAAGGTCCTCTGTGTTCGTTACGAAAAGCCATGTCCTGTGCACACAACTCTTGTTAAATTGCCGAATCAGCAACTACACACTCAAATCTGGAGTGTATGCAACCGAATGGGCTTAGAATACCTTGTAGGACCTACTGACGAGTCAAGTCTCTCGCAATTGCATCATGCAACAGCAGGAACGGTGTGAAATGGGTGTCTGGACATTACTTGGTTGATTGTTTCGACTCAAACCATTAGAATACCGAGGCTGACCCTAGGAAGTCCTTTCTGTTATACGTTCCCGAGTTATTAGCTTCACGTTCATGTCTAGAGTGTATACTGGAGAATGCGCCCAGAACACCCCGTGGGGCGCATTGGCGAGCGGAGGCTGTAGCATTCGCGTTATGCGGCAACAGAAACGTCGACGGAAGCTGTGTCTAAACTTTTGCTGGGATTACGGCTAAAGTACTGTCGTGGTCAATTATGCTACCTGAAATGGTACTTACGCCGAGGACAGGCGTTATGAGAGGGCAAGGGTTCTGACTCGCTTTTGTGGACTGTACATCGCTAAGAATGCCGACTCCTCACGCAAATGCGGTATAATAGTAAGTCTAATACTTCTTTGCCTTCTCAATTACCAATTAATCATGGTTTGTCTTGGGAACGATTGCGGCAAATATCGGACTCGTCCACCGTGTAGTACAGAATGCCATGAATTCTGATAATATTTTATCCTAGAGGGTTCACGATTAAGTTGTCGTACGCGTTAACTAATTGTCTCGCTGACCTCAATGGAAAAGGTTTTCGCAAGTCTAGGGCGTTGTTTTAGATAATTCTGAACATAATGTAGCGCACTCGAGTCATCCTATCGGAAACACACCAACCGCCCTTCCTTTTAATCTTGAAAATTTATCACTCAGCTTTTGTTCATGGCTGGTGGTTGCAAGTCTGTCGAGTTATCCGAGAAGCCCTGCATTTAGGCTGGTCACATGATTTTTATTTATAATACTCTTAAATCTCCATTGCGCGTGGTGCTACCTTTTTACTTTCATACCAGCAAAGCCCCGGTAAATTAAGACCCTGTCCGTGCTTACGTCATCGAGGGCATTTGTAAAACTCTAAGTTTGAGAATTTTAAATCCGGCCAGTGCACTCCGAGTACGCTCTCTTTGTCAAAAATGTCTCGTTTCTCAATTAGGACCCTCCGGTATATATTCTCAAATTTCCCAGACCCGCGCAGACATTTAATTTTTGCATTCTGTTTGAAGCTAGCCGTTGTAGGCCCCAGATGATATCCACAAAGGTACGCTGTAGGATTTGCACCTCAAGAATTTCAAACAATGCGTGTGTCCTACCATTAACATTTGAAACGATCAACAGCGCAAACCTGCTTTAGAAGATGTCTCGCGCATGCCGGAACAACTAAATCTTTTAAATTATCAGAATACATGCGAGAAGCTTCCATGATTTATATTTTCATCTGCAAAGATGCTCGAATTGAGCCGGGCGACTAGTATAGCTGCACATTTTAGTAATGCACGCAGTAGATGTGGCAGCTCATTAAATCTCACGAGTTTCATAAGAATATCCTTATGATGCACAGTCCACCCACTTGACGTCCTCCAAGGTTTTGCAGCAGTAAAGAGATGACCATTCTCTGAAGATAAGACCTCGTCGCTGAAGTAAATGCTCTTCCTGTATGAGGGCCGACAATACATTTCATAGCAAATAGAAAAAGTTCTCTTATAAATCCTACCTAAAACGGCTTGATCATGACGTTCTGTTGGTTAAATTCAAATTTTTACATCCTTTCCCTAGTAATGCCCATAGAGAACGTCAGCGGAAGTTACCTGTGAATGGTGTTAATAGGCATATAATGACACTTTTCTAGTGTGCTACGAGTAGAACCATCGTCTTGCTTTCATGCGGGCCATTTTGTTTCGTCCTGCTGACTTCTGTGCACGCCTCTATCATTAATAAATCGCCACTGAGTGACCATACTAGTAATGAAAATGCCTACTAACGACTGACGCGAGAACCCTTTCGCTGCTAATTTCCGTATGCCTTCGTAGGCGACTGCTGAATGACATAGTCTGGGCATCTTTATCGCACGGTGTGAGAGAGGAAAGTGACAGCATGTTGCGGGAACTCAATATTTGTTTGCGCCTAGTACTTTTTGTATGATAAAACAAACTACTGTCAGACAAGTTCATTTCTGAGTCTTAAGGCGCGAAACGTCACAATTTTGCAAAAGAGGAGTTTAAAAGTTAAATCCACTCCTCATTCTTCATGTCTGCCTTAACTTGATCATCATGGACGTAAAATCCAATCTTCGGTTTTTACAAGGTATTTATTCCAAACTTTTTTTGTTTATATTAATCTTAGTCTATAGCATAAGGCGCACAACGTGAGGTTTTGACCTGTGAATTTCAATGGCGTAGGAAATTACTTAGATACCAAGCAAGGTCTGGTTTCGCCTTATCTGGCCTGCTTTCCTTTCATAAAACAGACTGAAAGGAATTCTTATTTAGTTAATCGTTCTCTGCGCCCCAAGTCAATTCAACAAACAAATGAAAAAGTGTATGACATGCTACCTACTCAAATTTTGATGGGCCAGACCATTTACAGTAGTTGTTAAAATACCAGTATTCTTTGCGAGGAACGGGGAAATCAAGGTCATTTCCCGGTCTGACCAACTCCCACACGCTTAGCTCTGAATCATTCCTATATGTCCAATTATCCCAATCAAAGGTCAAAGGTTGACCAACGACATGCAACTTTCTGCGTCCTTCCGCTCTTGCCTAGCCTGTATTTTAGAAACCTTACTAAGTCACATCGCGACGGGCACTGTATACGCGACTCCAAAAGAATTTCTTTTTATCGGCGACAGATCTGATGTCAACTCTGCACATATTTCGTTCGTCGCTCTCAAGGTTTCGCACACCATTGCGAGTTTGAGAGTAATGTCCGAGGGAGGGGCACACTTATTGCGTGCTTGAGATCAAAGTATTTGCGCTTAGCAGAGCGGAAACGGATGCCGCGTTAAATTATTTTGCCGCAGATTTGCATTCCCACATCCGCTGAACAGGGCACGCGGTGTCAACGGCCTACGGTGGGTGAATTCCATAAGTTTAATAAGACGCAAATTCCAAGTATCCCAGGCACTAAATTTGGCCTTGTAGACTTAACACTGGACCAGCAAAACACTGGAACGGAAGTTAATATAATTAGCAGGCACTTGCTTTCTTCGTTTGTCACCATTACTACCAGGCTGACAAGGAGGCTTCACAAAACAGAATGAACTCTAAACGGGTGGAGACGTTATTCTTGCCGATCGCTCACTGTTAGCAGAAGTCAAAGGTTTGTATAGACGGCCCGCCTGCTACATCACCACAAAAATGCAAGCTAACACAAGTGTTGGAGTCTTCTCTACTACTAGTCCTCCATAAATAAAAGAACAATGACCGACAGCCTCAGACCACTTTTGCAACTTGTCATGGCTAAAGCCTACCCATTTCCTTAACACCACTTCGTTGAGAGCTGCCAAGCAAGTAGGGAACGGGATGTCGTATAGTAACCTATTGGGCGTTCGCGCCGTCGCAATATCCATTATAGGCATCTGCTCGCTAGGTGGTTTTCGGAACGACTACTTTACGACTCGACCCTGGCAAAAAATTTTAATTTTGCGAAACTAATAACGAGCTAAACAGTTTTGAAGTTAGATTTGAAGGGTAGTTGGAGGCTATGGAAAAGCACAAATCAAACACTATTTAAATACACACTAGATGCTGTATGTAAACATTCACCCTCATGACACCCAGTGAAGGCAACTGTCGGCGACTATTCTGCAAGTGTCACCGGTCGCATGCTTGCTTTTCGTTCGCAAACTATAAAAACATACAGTAGATGTGATATCTCATAAAATGTTAACTGACATTCTGAAGTACGCTTTCGAGTCGAAGAGACTACTTAATTGAGGTTGTGATATTAATTGCCATGCGAAATAGCCCCAAGATATTTCAGTTACTTCAGGATGCCAACCTTTGAACGAGCATGTTTCCGGCCGCCTGCAAAGACTACACTGCAAAAATAGTTATTTAAGTAGTGTGAATTTTTCCCACTGATTTTCCGTACCCTTATAAATCCAAATATTTTCCCGTAGAAGACATGCATAAAAATACCCGTTCGATGAAAAATCACGTCTTCTTCGAATTTTACACTTCAAGGAAGGATATAATTCGGTGTTAAAAACTTTTCCAATTCCCGAATAAATTTGAACTCGACCCGTCGTTACGCTTGCATTCAGAGTTTCCTAATTACAAGCTTCGCATTTTCCATGCACGGAAAACGCCAGTAAGAGGAGACCTTAGGGGTTCATGAAATTTAGCAGTGGACGTGGGCCATATTTTAAACTTTACAAGTAACGCTGGTAAATACAGCGACACGATATTTTATGAAGGGACATTTCA